CATGGTATAGGCACATATCCCCAAAGTTTCAGCCTTCTAGCTTTTCTGGGTCTCGAATTGAAAGTGAGTGACAAAAAGTGCGGACACACAGACACACACACACAAACACACACACAGACACCCTCTTCCCAATATGCGTTTTTGCAATTTACATATGTGCAAAAACGCGTAAGAGAAATATTAACTTGATGGAGCTTAAATAAAGACAGTATGGAGGGAAATTTATTACATAAAAAATTTGTAACAATCCTATGTTGTGCAAGCAAAGAGGGAGAAAAGGTAACTAAAGAGGACTGTTCCGGTTCAGTGGACGAGGTTTTGGCATTGCAACGCAAAAATTTTAAGAATTCGATAAAATGAAAGGAAGCAGCTGGGCCAGGGCACTGAATTTTAACCGATACTGAGGTTACTTTCCGGCACGTGAGAAGCACATATGTGTTTTTATAGGAAAACGAAGTTATTAATGCGGAAAACTGCTCTGCAATTTTTAGAAACAATGGGATCACATTTCCCGGCCATCGGATATTGATTTCAGTATTTTTGCAAATCTTACGCTTGAGAATCACATTTGGGAAGTTGGCTACCGAAGCAAAGTAAGTTTTTGGTCGATTTCCGGGCAAATCAAAACCAGTGATAAAATAGATCGGGAAAGTGATCCATTCTTACCAAGTTTGAAACTCATGTGCAATAAGAGCCAAAAATATGGTACGCAATTTGTTTGCAGTTGATTGTGGTACCGGAATATATCTATGTGACACATGTACATGAAGTATTGATACCATCACGACTTTCTCATGACGTTCAAAAGGTAGCCCCAGAAACTGCGCTTGTTTTTCATTTCAGGTCAGAATTTTTATGTTTCTTCCATGTTTTTTTTTTTTTTTTTTAAATCCATCTGAATCCCATATCGTATTATCCAACTGCATTACTGGGTTGAGCCATATACTGTCACGAAATGAACGAAACATCCCTGTTCAGTTATTTTCCTTCCCACTCCCTCCTTCCCTTCCTCGCTCTTTCCTCTCTCGCTATGCTACAAGAAAATTTTATAAATTTCTTGTATAATAAACTCCAATCAGTTGCAGCTTAATCTTATTTACCCTGAACCATTCTTCATTGCTCCTGCTCACTATTACCACAAAAATTCCTTGCATGTTCACTTAGAACTTATCCTCACTGATCTTATATTTCACCTATTTGAGAGAATAGAGCAAGCAAAAGTAGCTTAACTGGTAAAACACTACGATCAACAATAAAATTTTGCAAGGCCCTCGATGGCTCCGCTTTCGAAAGGTTTTTTGGATGCAAGCTGAAGGTGTTTCTGGCTTTGCAGACGTATTATGACTAATAATAAGTGGACAACTAATTCAACGGTAAGCACAAGCGCTCTAGCAAAATTCGTTGAGCCATGCAATAATTTATGGAAGAATCGGATGAAAACAGTTGCAAACACCCCAAATACGGAAATCTTGCACGCTGAAAGATGGCCAGATCGTGGTGCTCAGGTTGGATTTTCGCAATTTCTTTTTGCCAAGTATTTTTATGTGTGTAACCAAAAATTGATAATGCGCTAAGATTATGCAACTATGCACAGCTATGACAGAGCACGGGGGCAACATAAACTGAAGCGAAGATTTGGGCTCCAGTACCCTTCGTGCCTTTTGGCTTAGTTTCTGGTACGCGGTCGGCAGCCGGAAAAATAAGGAGTTGCTTCTAAAAATCCCATACATCCAGAGAAAAGTGCCACAGGACAGACTGAATCGTTTTATGCGCACTTACAACGGTGGACCGCTATCGAACGGTGAACTCAGGAACAGGAGAATCCTTCAAAAGTGACTTAGAGAATATTAGTAACGACCGGATGGGTGATGAGCTATCTTCCTGATGAGTTTTTTGAGAACGTAGAACGACTTGGACCTGTATAAGGAATTGATTTGTTTATATGTGGAATCGATTGGGAAGCAAGGGGGGATTTTATTAGGACAAAAATTTGGATAAATGTAGTCGATTTGATCGAAAAAGGTGCCAAGCTTCATATCTAAAAAAAAATGAAATTTGCAGAATTGTTTGAAATGCAAAAATTTTAATCAGTTAATCTTATTCTTCCCTTCCTTTGTGAGTAACTTCAATCGACTTTTGACCTGGTTTAAGGTAATCAAAGAACTTAACGGATGTGAGGAGGAACTTTCTGCCCAGCAAAACAAATGTGCTTCATTTTACAGTTGTATTTCAAAAATTACCGCTGTCGGCAGGGACGAGTGGATTTTGGGAAAGCAAGCTTGGACCGTTTTGTAGTATTTCTGAACCAATTTTATACGATTCATGTCGCAAAATCGATGTAAAACATATGTTGTGAGATAATTTTTGTTTGCACAAGTTTGAGTGTATGTAAGCAACTGTTTGTTCGGATTTTTATCTGATGTTTCTGCTCAGGAACCAGAAAAGCTAGGACGCTGAAGAATTAGGATGATTCTTTCTGCCAAAGTGCGACATCGCAAATTTCAATTTTCGCTTGGCTGAAAAATTTTCGAACTCAGAACAAACCGGACAGGCAATTAAAATTTTACGATGGTGCTCCCTACCTAATCTAAAAAACGCAAATTCAGATTTCAAGCACGTTTACATCTCAAGTGTGGACAACTAGAATTGAAGACAGGAAATTGTTGACATTTTTCCAACTCGGGAACCAGACAAGCTAGAATGCTAAATTACTGAATGGAGAACTGTTAAAAACGCATGACTGCAATAGTTATCCTCTGATTCGCCGATATTTATGTGCCTGATACACTACCCTTTAAGTGAATTATATTATATTCAGAAAAGGGTAGAGTGTCGAGGTGAATTATATTGTATCCTATTGTACTATAATGCGTATATGTACAATATGTATGTATTTATGTATAACTATTGTATGTATGTATGTATGTATGTATGTATGTATGTATGTATGTATGTATGTATGTATGTACGGTATGTATGTATGTATGTATGTATGTATGTATGTATGTATGTATGTATGTATGTATGTATGTGTGTATGTATGTATGTACGTACATATGTATGTATGTATGTATGTGTGTATGTATGTAAGTGTTATGTATGTACGTATGTTAACATTATGTGTATGTGCATACATGCATCTTAGTATAATGTATTTGTGTACGCATGCATGTGTGTCTGGCTTATTTTTTTGAGGGTGATAAAAATTTGAATATTTTTTGAGGGCTATAGTACTAATGCTAATATTATGATAATACTTCTTGAGGGTGATAACACTAATGCGAGTGATAATATTAAAACGGGAAAATCACACTGCGTGTCAAATATCACTAGGTTTTGGATTGTTGAGCAAATAAGCAGCTCTTCGGGGTTTTTTTTTTTTTTTTTGAAATTGTGTCCCTAGAAATTGTCAGACATCAATTTTATCTTGATGTTAGTCGCAGTATTTTTTGCACTGGTTGGCATGGCATTCATAAACGTCGTAAATTCTTTCGGATAGCATTGTATGCTTTATGCAAAAAAGGAATACGAAACTTAGACCGTACAAAATGGAAAATAATATGCAAAAGAAAACGCAAACTTTACAAAAGTGGTTGGCTTCTGGTAACCATATTATATTCATACAGCTGTGCAGAAACACGCACAACCTTCAAGCATGTACACACATACACAAATGCATGCGTACATAAATACGTAATGCTAAGACGCATGCATGCGCATATACATATTGCTAATAGACATAACACTTACATAACGCTTACATACATAATGGTGTCCGTGTCGTTATGAGTTTTAGCTACACGTGTTTCCAGAAGCACTAAAATCTGCTATTGTATATAGAAAAAGGCTGTTTCTTTGCGTTGCGGTCTTCGTCCCTCATTCGAAGAGCAAAATATCCGAGACCGCATTACAGCTACTTAGTGTGAATGCACTGTAGGAAAGAGTACTCTTTGCTCATCTCGCCTTCGCTAGGTAGATAATCCATTCA